CAAGGTTGATGAAATGCATGTATTTGGTTAGTGCGAGGCTGATGGATTGTTGTTCAACCGGGGGGGGGGAGGGGGGCCATGGAAGAGGACAGACAGCAGCAACAGGAACTTTCTGGGTGGGTTCGGCATGAGCAACTTTTTTTGTTCTTAAACGATGGAAAGGAGGGTACGAGGGTGAGGCAGTTGCAGCCGACTGGGTTTGTCAGAGTTTGCAAGAACTTACTCTCATGGCAATGCAAGGCAGGTAAGTAGAGTCGAGACGAGAGCAATTAAAGTGTTCCGGAATTATAGCGGGGGCATGCCAGCCAGCCAGCCACACAACCCACCACCACTCTCCATCCACAGCGACCATCACTCAAGCGAGTCGTGGCTCACCTTGGCCCAACAACAGAGACACACATAGACAGACATACGCAAACGCAAACGCAAACGCACACTCATGGTACACATCATACCCCAACACACCTCAACACCAAGTAGCGGGTTACCAACCAATTGGTTCCGGTCGACGTTCCCCGACATGGCCCCAGCCAGCCCATGCCCTTTCTGGCTATATAGGCGGTCCCACCTTGGACCACCCACCACCACCACCAGCCCACCAAAATCCTCCATTCTGTTATCGGTACTTTCGCCAGGCAGATAGGTAGTGGGTGTCTTGGTTATGCGCTATTCCGCCGCTGCAGCAGTGAACTCATCGCTCCTTGAGTTCGGAAGTCAGTGGTCTGCTGCGACCTGCTGACTCGATCCGGACATGACCTCGTCTGGCCTCACCATCCCCGGCCTGTTGAGAGCCACGTTGCGAACAGCCCTCGAGATGGATGAGTAGGACAATTGCTAACAGACGGTATTCCATGCCAAGCCACAGGCGATCACATCACTCAACCTGGTGGGAAACCCCAGTGCACACGCACAGTGCGTCACGACTTCAGGTTCACATTGGCTCCTTCGGCGCAGATACCCACAGATTCACCTGCGTGCGCATTCCCAGACAGCATGCTGAGCGCCCTGCAATCCCCATTCCGAAAATGCTAGTGCCAGGGCTTGAGTGGTAGGGTGACTGACTGACTGACTGGCCACTTTACCCCAGATCCCGACTCCAATACCCGAATCAACGTCACAAACCGCATGTCCTCTGGTTCCATGACTCGTCAATGAAAATAAAATGAAAAGAAGAAGAAAAAAGCTTTGTGAAGTGACTAGCAAGACCTGAAGAATGTCAATGGCGCCAACACTAAACCGACCAACTGGTGCGTCTTGCGAGTGAGTGTCCACAGCTCGCAAGCATCCCTCGGCCCAGAGCTGTCGAGTTATGAGGCCCGCCGGCATCACTGGTTCGATCTGCTGACCCAAACCTGCAGGCGACGTCCAAGCCTGCCTTTGCTGCCAAAGTTACAGGTGCAAAAGACTGCAGCGTTACCTTTGACTGTCGGAGCACGCCCTTGGCCAAGTTGGAATGGGATCGACTATCGGACTTTTACGGCTGACATGTCCACACCTCTTTTTCTCGTCACGCCAACCCTTGCCAATACCAGACCCTTGTCAGCGTTGATCAAAGTGCACACGCCAACCACAATGGATCGCATATTTCGGGACTTCGCCTACTGGCCATGGGGGGAACAGAGAGAGTGCCATGCCGAATCCGAGCCCGAGGGAGCAAAGGTAAAATCCAGATAGAAGTATCCAATCTCCAGCAAACCCAAAACACTTGCCGATGGTTGTGCGGCATACTTGCCTCTGCGTCGTTTCCTGCAAAACCGAATCACGTGGGTTCGACATCGTTCAGTCTCCTCACAGGTTCCTCCACCTCGGCCTTGTCGCATGTACAACTCGAAACCAAGGATGCCTTTGGCACCCCCCCCCCTGCCGACCTAGAGCCTTGAAGTTTTGAACTAGCCCCACATTGAACTGGGCAGAACACTTGGCCAGAGAGAGCGGGACGCCAGAGCAAAGTCTGATGCAATTGCTACCCCTGCCCAACAAAGGTTCCCATCCACCGGTGTTGGAGAATTCGGCCAGCCATGGCAATATGTGACAGCTCACGCTGACCTCACAGAATTGCCACCATCCCCATCATCAGGAGGTTTCCTGCGGTGGTGCATGTAGCTGCTACACTCGCCCGACTTCCGAAATTGGAGGCGCGTTATTGAGTGTGTGTTGGTCGAAGGACGGGTGGCATGATCGCCGGCCTTGCCATGCAAGTCCAACGTTTGATGGCATCATCCACTCGTTGCGGCGCGGCAATTGACCCTGGCTCCTGGCCCCTTCTCACGTCAGTCTTTTTCTTCCTTTTCGGGCGCGACTCACTGATCGAGGAGACAACTGAGTACGAGTGCCATGTAGGCTAGCCAGCCTGCAAGACAGTCAAGAGAGACAAGACAGACAGACCCTGGACCTGGATCATGCAGAAGCGATAATCTAACCAACTAAATCCTCGGCCCCGCCCTGGCCCCTTCTGGAACCAATTCCGCTCTTTCGACTGTGTCAATAGGACCATCCGCGCCGTAACGTGGCTGCACGTCTGACATGATTGATAT